AAAAAAAAAAAAAAGAAACATTGTTTAACTATAATGTTGATGGCAAAAAAAAAAGATAAAAAAAAGGGGCCACTGTCTGTGTGGAGTTTGCATGTAAAAAAAAAATCTAAAAAAAATTTCTCTAGGTACTACGGTTTCCTCCCATAAAAAAAAAAAGTGAAAAAAAAGTGAATTGGTGTGTCTAAATGGTCTCAGTCAAAAAAAAAATTGAAAAAAAAGTGATTGCACCTCACAATGGAATGGCATCCAAAAAAAAAATGGAAAAAAAACTTGTCCCTGAGCTGCTGGGATACACTGGCAAAAAAAAAACCCAAAAAAAAATATTTGGGTAATTAATTGTCTTACTTTTAAAAAAAAAAATTAAAAAAAAATATAGCTCACATTTATTTCAGTTTTTAATAAAAAAAAAAATTTAAAAAAAATTTAGAAGTTTGGTGATTTTTTTTTTTTTTAAAAAAAAAAATCAAAAAAAAACTTAACTCTTAATGGCAAAATGAGTTTTGAAAAAAAAAATTGAAAAAAAAAAAGTTGCAGTTTCCAAGAATCCGTGATGTAAAAAAAAAAACAAAAAAAAATTAGTGGTTTGTGGCAAAGGAAAAAGTATCATTATCTTGATTCTCCTTTTTTTCCCTAGGCATTTTTATTACCAATTTGTGAAAAAAAAAATATAAAAAAAATGGTAAAAGTATATCAAGAATGGATCCAACAAAAAAAAAAACCAAAAAAAATGCAAGAGCCTGAAGAAATTGGGATCACTTAAAAAAAAAACCCAAAAAAAAAAAATGTCACAGACCATGATACTTCAATGGAAAAAAAAAAAAAAAAAAAAAAGGTAAAGTTATAAGATTTATATATTTTAGAAAAAAAAAAATAAAAAAAAACTTTTGCAGAAACATAATAATGGGTTAACAAAAAAAAAAATATAAAAAAAAAAGATAAATATATCTTTCTGTGTATTTTGTAAAAAAAAAAGTAAAAAAAAAGTAGTCATCTCAGTACTGTGGAGGAAAGCCAAAAAAAAAAACAAAAAAAAAAAATTAATACTGAGGTTGTATACTGATTCTAAAAAAAAAAGTCAAAAAAAAAATTATATGCTATTATAAAGGTATAATATTAAAAAAAAAAATAAAAAAAAAAAATGGATTTTAAAATACATACTTTTGGGGAAAAAAAAAACAAAAAAAAAATCCTCCTTCCCTGGAAGGAGTAACTGTTTAAAAAAAAAAACCCAAAAAAAACCATAATGTTTGTGCTCCCTCCTTGGAATCAAAAAAAAAAGAGAAAAAAAAAGAATGTGAAACTTCTTGACTTGGTAAAATAAAAAAAAAAGTGAAAAAAAAGACTAGAGTTTACTCACAGCGGGGAAACGGAAAAAAAAAAGAGAAAAAAAAAGGTGGCATTTGGGTCCCTGGTTCCATTTTTTCCTTTGGTTGTTCAACCTTTGTCACAGGTCAGGCTCTCCAACAGCAGATAAAAAAAAAAAGTAAAAAAAACAGAACGTTTATTGAAAGTGATTTATCTGTAAAAAAAAAATTGAAAAAAAACATAAAGTTGTCTGCAATTGATACCTATCTAAAAAAAAAAAGAAAAAAAAAATTGAGTAATGTTTATTCACTTTAGTGGTTAAAAAAAAAACATAAAAAAAATTTAGTCAGGATACTAATGTGTGAATGAATAAAAAAAAAATGTAAAAAAAAGATGAGCCTGAGCATTTGTGTATGTATATAAAAAAAAAAATATAAAAAAAAACATACGTAGAGCACCCTCCCCCCTTCTAAAAAAAAAAAAAATAAAAAAAAGAAATATAATTGAAGTAAATAAAATGAACCAAAAAAAAAATGAAAAAAAAACTGCAGTCCTAATTCTTACACAGCAATGAAAAAAAAAAAATTTAAAAAAAATTTTATGCTGGAAAATAAACCTATGAGTTTAAAAAAAAAATGCAAAAAAAAACCTTTTTAGTCATGATGTGCCATATATAAAAAAAAAAAACCAAAAAAAAAACTATTCTTAAATAAGAATGATGGATAATAAAAAAAAAAAGTAAAAAAAAAAAACAAACAATGGAAGGAATGAAAGAGAGGAAAAAAAAAATTGAAAAAAAAACGTGTGCTGTGTAGGTTTGTTCTATTTGTAAAAAAAAAACTGAAAAAAAAACTGACTGCCATTAGAGATGTAGTTCTTCAAAAAAAAAAAAACAAAAAAAAATGATGTGGACCAAACCCAAAAGGTATAATAAAAAAAAAAACAAAAAAAAAACACTGAATATATAAGGGAGTCATTTAAATAAAAAAAAAAACAAAAAAAAAGTGGAATTATGTTATAAATTCAGATAATTGAAAAAAAAAATTTAAAAAAAATTTTTATTGTTGTTATTATTTTGAAACAAGAAAAAAAAAAGTCAAAAAAAATGGAATGCAGTGGTGTGATCTCAGCTCACTAAAAAAAAAACCTAAAAAAAATAAGCCATCATCAACCTCAGCCACCCGAGTAAAAAAAAAAACAAAAAAAAACCACCACGCCTGGCTAATTTTTTTGTATTTAAAAAAAAAACAGAAAAAAAACGTGTTTCTGAGCTGGGCTTGAACTCCTGAAAAAAAAAAACCTAAAAAAAACAGCCTCCCAAAGTGCTGGGGATGACAGGTAAAAAAAAAAGCAAAAAAAAAAATAGACTTTTAAAATTCTCATAGTACCTGTGAGACATTTGAAAGGCATACAGAATATAAGACAGTTTCTTTTTGTGTGTGAAAAAAAAAATCAAAAAAAAAGTAGGATGCTTTGCATTCTCTGTCCTATTTAAAAAAAAAACAGAAAAAAAATTTAATTCTTGTGACAAGAAAACACTCACAAAAAAAAAAATACAAAAAAAAGCTTTTGGTTGGCCATATTGAGAACAAGTGAAAAAAAAAAAAAAAAAAAAAGACATTATTTCTACCTTCACATAACTTCTGAAAAAAAAAAAAGAAAAAAAAAAAAAGTAAGTATTATAAGACAGTGTTACTAAAAAAAAAATAGAAAAAAAAAAAGAGAATACCTAACTCTGCTTGGGGAAAAAAAAAAAAACTTAAAAAAAAAGGTAGTATAAGATAAAAGAGCAGGTAGGCAAAAAAAAAAGGTAAAAAAAAGTGTGAATGGCATCTACAAAATGTATGAAAAAAAAAAAAAATAAAAAAAAATGGCTGCAGCGTAGAGTAGATGAGACAAAAAAAAAAAAAATATAAAAAAAACAGGATTAGATTCTGTTCAGTAACTTGTATAAAAAAAAAATAGAAAAAAAATACATTCTAGAAACTGGAAAGCCTTTGAAGAAAAAAAAAAAAAAAAAAAAAATGAATAGTTACATACTTCAGAAGGTCATAAAAAAAAAAAAATAAAAAAAAGATTATAGGTCAGTCTGTAGGCCAGGAGACCAGTTAGGAAGGATTAGCAAAGTTCGAAAGTGAGATGATAAGTACCTAGGAAAAAAAAAAATGCAAAAAAAATATAAGGGAGAGGACAGATACATTAGTGTCTTTGAGGAATGGGGAGGTGTCGCAAGTTTCTTTCTTTTGCAACCGGAGTTGAAAAAAAAAACACAAAAAAAAGAATTTTAAACAGCTCAAGTTTGGTGATGGAAAAAAAAAATAGAAAAAAAAGGTTGGCAGGAATGGGGAGAATCTGATTAAAAAAAAAAAATTTAAAAAAAATAAGTTTGAGATGCTTGTGGGTCATTCAGGAAAAAAAAAACAGAAAAAAAATGATTACAGGGACGTGGAGCTTAAGAGAAAAAAAAAAAAAGACAAAAAAAAGTTGTATTGGCTACTCAGGGCAGGGTTCCAAAAAAAAAAATGGAAAAAAAAGAGCTGTTTGTATTGGACTAAACCTCTTGCAAAAAAAAAACCCAAAAAAAAATATTTTTGTAAACCTTAACTAGTTAAAGAAAAAAAAAAATGAAAAAAAAAGAAAAACTGGAGGGACACTTTAAAAAGAGAACTACAGAGTAGCATTTCTGTTTGTGCTTTTTAACTGAGGGAACTCCCTTGAAAAAAAAAATTGAAAAAAAAAAAATGCAAGCAGAAAGCTGTCGTTTCAGTAAAAAAAAAATTCAAAAAAAATTGAATAATAAGAATTTTAGTACTCCTAAGAAAAAAAAAAATAAAAAAAAATCTTTGTCATTTATTTGGATTCTGACATTTAAAAAAAAAAAGAAAAAAAAATTTTACAAAGCTGTAGGTAGTATAATCCCAAAAAAAAAAATGTAAAAAAAAGAAAGGGAGGTTTATACATTAGACCTATAGAAAAAAAAAATCTAAAAAAAAATAATCTCTGACTGCTCATTATGGTTTTGTAAAAAAAAAAGTTAAAAAAAAACTTTATATTTTTGTCATTGAGAATCCTTTAAAAAAAAAAATAAAAAAAAATTTTGGAATTGGATAAGACATCATCTATTTAAAAAAAAAAAAAAAAAAAAAGCAGTGGGACCTAATAATTTCATTTACCTTAAAAAAAAAACTGAAAAAAAACAGCATTCTTATTAATGAAATATTAAAAACAAAAAAAAAAGATAAAAAAAAATGGGACCAATACTGCTGATCTTGTTCGAAAAAAAAAAAAGGCAAAAAAAAGCTCCTACCAAGGTGCTCTTCATAACGCCTAAAAAAAAAACACAAAAAAAAACATACGAGCTGGTACACAGGCAGTTTTGCAAAAAAAAAACTTAAAAAAAATTTTTAAAAATAAAATAATCATTAAATATTTCAGTTCAGTATTTCAGTATACAGTATACTTTTCACAATATAATAAATTTAAAAAAAAAAATTAAAAAAAAACCATATTATTTTTATTTTTTCCTTTCATCAAAAAAAAAAAATGAAAAAAAAAACATTACATATTATTCTAGAGAATTTTAAAAAAAAAAAAAATAAAAAAAAGACATACTGTCATCTGCAACTGATTTATTAAAAAAAAAAATTAAAAAAAAAGTTGTTACTATGCAGCCGTAATTCATTTTAAAAAAAAAAAGATAAAAAAAATTATTTCACATTTTACTTATTCATTTTTCTAAAAAAAAAATTTAAAAAAAAGTTTTTCCGCGAATCACATCATTGCACTCTAGCCTGGGCACAAGAGTGAAAACAACATCTCAAAGAAAAAAAAACAAAAAAAAACAGAAGTTCACTGTAGTACTATTTGGTAATGTAGTGAAAAACTGGCAAAGCCAAAAGACAAACAGAAAAATGAATAAGTAGAGAGGCGCCAATGTGAATAAACTACAATATCCAAAAAGTTAAAGATGGAATTACGGCTGCATAGTAACAACCTAAATCTCATAAACAGAATGCTAATAAATC